GCAGGAATGTTATTGCCAGCAGTGTTCCCGGTTACCAGAACATCCAAAAATAAAGTTAAATCATAAAATAACACTTGTATAAACACTATAAAGAAACATTAAAAAAAAAATTTACAGCAAAAAAGAACTTTCAATAATAATAAATCTTTGCAGATGCAAGCCAGACCAAGCCGTTCGGCCACAAGAATCGGCAGTAGACAAATTTAAAGATAGATGTGTGGTGAAAATAAGCATGATAAATTTTAGAATGATTATATTATAAAAAGGATTTGAGTAGCATCTATTAAATATAAACTTAGGAGGTTTGAATATATAGAAAAAAAAGAATAAAAAAATATGTTCATTAAATGAGTTCATAAAACTAATGTCAAATAATTATGAAGAAAAGAGGTAGACCTAAGAAATTTCATGAATATAAGTTTTCAAAATAGTTTACAAAGAATAGATTTATAAACTTAAAAAACACACAAATGCAAAGAATAAAAAAGGAGGATTCATGATGTCAAGCCCAAATAATTCCGATAAGACTAGTGATGATGATGCTGATATTCTATTATCATAAAGCCCTCCAAAAGAACTTCAGGATTTTAGCCACCCAACCACAACTCTAAAAATTATCATTGCAACTATATCCCCAAAATTAATTATAATAGAGCCAAGATACCTAAACTTACCACGCTTTCATATCACTTAATTTTTTAGCAATATTGAATAACAATTATTAATTTCAAATGCATTAAAATCACATATCAGATACTAAATCTTTGAGCTCATTAATTATCATATATTGAACATGCGTCAATTAAAACAAAATAACTTCCATTTGCATCTTAAAAAATTTTTATGAGACTTAGGTGTTTGGAAGCATTATCAATGAAAATCTACCATTGGATGAACAAATATCTCAAAAATCCATTCAAATACACCCTTGAAGAATGCAAAGCCATGATAAGTGGAATTAGCACAAAAAGATCATATTGAAAGTATCTACAAGCTAATAAAAAGGGGGAAAAAAAATACTTGTAGTATACCGGAAACCATTTTATATGTAACAACTTTCTCATGGAAATTTGTAAGGAGTAAGTACCTTTGTCTCAAATCCAAATATGTTCGAATAGAAGCATATATGATGAACAAACAGATACATGTGTCCCTGAAAATACAATTCAGTCTTTAGAAAAGTTAAAAAATAATTACGACCCAATCTAATATTGGTAAACAGCACGCCAATATTGAATCGTGGTAAGCTTTCTTTTAAAAATTCAAAGTCCATTATCTTATGAAGGATTATATCTAGATTTCAAAACAATAAAATGCAGTCAAATCTCAGCAAAGTGCAGTTTGAATTTAAGAAGCCATTAAAACTGCATATTGCTAGATACAAATTAGAAATAAGATTAAAAAGCAACATCGATATCAATTAACTTAGCTGCAATATGAGCTGCCAGGAGTAAAAATTACCTGAAGAAGTATATTTTCCTGAAGGGCACAGTTGAAATCCTGAACAAGGACCTATACAAATGATGAATTAAGTCATGCATTTTTTAACGATAGATAATGTGCAAGAAATTGGAAATAAGAAAAGCGTAACATTTCATTTCACATTTCACAACAAAATGAAACTATCCGATACCATTGAACTCACAATCAACTTATCTTCTTGATAAGATGTGCTTGAATCATCAGCACTATTTCATAATTTGGTCAACAACTTCAATGTTTTTTTCATTTTGGTCCAACCAATTGTTGATAGAAAAAAATAATGTAATGACAGTCCTACTTAAAAGATCAATTTATCAATTAAATTCACCAAAATTCTGATTGGATGTTGAAATAAAGAAAGGTTGTAACCATTAAGATTCAGTTACTGAACTAAAGTGCTAGTATCAAATGACATATTAACCTAACAAAAATGCAAAACAAACTAACGAATACAACTGTAATTTAGTTAGATCCAAAACAAAATATCATCTTTTACGGCTAACAGAGCTAAAAATGGATGTCATAAATGCATCACATCTTCCACAAGAAGACCAACTAAACTTATTATTTTTCAATGTAAGTTGAGGGATCAGGATCATCGTCAGAATAAATGTATTGACCAGCACCAACATATGCATGAGCAAACTAGAGTAATAAATGAACATGCAAATTTCACTTTTTTGTGTATAAAGAAAACATGGACTGACTAAGCATGTGCTTGCATGTATTTTTATGTCCCTCTGCACAACAGAATAGAGATTTTCTGCGGATTTCATACAATATTTTAAGAGAAAACAGAAATTCAGGCATTCATACATTGGAAGCATAGAAAGCACATCAGTGCCTCAGTTTCTACTACATAATAAAGACAACTTGGTGAGTGCCTTCGCCTTGCTGGACTTGTAGGTTCAACAATAACATCCAAAACTAAATCTAAAAGGTCGCAGAAATACAATAAAACTCCAGAACCTAACATATCTACATGCTCCAATTCAGCATTCCATTATGAAAAACAATAACTTCTTCAATAACAGAGTCAAGATCCTAGTCAATTTTTTAAAAACGGAAACTTGTATCACAAAAATGTCAACTTTACCATTCCTGTTATACCTTTGAAAACGGTGGCTTAAACCAAGATCACACTAACTCCAAGTTCTAACCACGAAAATACGACACAGACCACCCTAAATCCGGGTTCTATCCAAGAAACCCGACACCCCTAACTCTTTCTATACTCTAAGAACGAATGCCAGAATAACAAAATCATTAAAGCAAGAAAATCAACACCATGTAACAACCCCATAAAACTCGACACAAACGAAAACCATACAACCACAACACACTGTCACAAACTAACCTCATCAGGAGGGAGACGGAATAGCAGCCTGTACTCCTCGCTCCTAGCCGATGACACCTGCGACCTCAACAAACCGATCCGGAATTAAATCGCTTAATACAAAATGCGATGAGAAGAGAAATAGATAGGGATTACCGACACATCAGCTTCCTTTCTCTCAGAGTTCTCAAGAGAGTGAATGGAGGACGTCTCCGACGCTGCGTCTCCGTCGAGTTTCCCTAACCTGGAAGGCAAAGAGCGCGAAGATTGCAAAGCATCGGAGCACGATGATTCCATTTTCTCCATGCTTGGCGGCTCCACGGCCATGGATCGGGAAAATAGGTTTTCAGCGCCGAGTCCGATGGGGGTCGGTGTAGAAGTTAGAGGAGACGATATGTCGGCAATTGATTTTGTCTTGTACAGTGGTGCTTACTGGCCGTTGAGTGACCGAGACCTCTTGAGAACTCGTCGGTAAGCTCGAGGGGCTTCTGTGGGTTGATACACAATATAAACGGAATTTACGATGGATTAACGTAAATACTGCCTAATACAAGATAAATAGATCTTGAATGTCATCCTCTTAAATCCAATATTTCTTTCATTTCAATGAATCTTAGATTTATTAAATCTGATTATTATGTGAATTTAACAGATTTAAGTGAGGAAGAGAATTCACCTTCTGATTATTTTGTGAATTTAATAGATTTAAGTGAGGTCGAAAATTCACCGTTGAGTTATGGCTTCCCTTGTCACTAAATAGAAGGAATTTAGTTTGATTTAACATTAATAGAACTAAAGGTTTTTCTTTCTTGGATTTAACCCTTTTGGATACGATTAGTCCGGATTTACCAAGTCCTGTTAGAAACCCTCCTAAGGGTGTAAATGCGTTGAGCTTAAAGCAAGACTAATATTTATTTGTATTTGGCTTGTTTAAATGTTTCTTTTGTTTGAAACAAATTTATTTTCAAAATGTCTTATGAATAGCGCTGCAACCTGCTTGGCCGAGTCAATTTGAGTATTTCATGGATTAAGCTTAACTTGGTTGAAGTATAAGTTGTTCATGTTCAATTCGAGCTTAATGTCACCTTCCAAAAGAGTTCTTAAGAGAGATGGACAACCTAGGACTTAAATATTGTTTTTCGGCCCATCACCTAGCGGATGTGAGACTTTTTGTCTGTGACATTCTCCTCCACCCAATCACGTGACGTCATCATCACCGATCAGCTCCACCGAGAGTCCCACTGGACCATGGAGAATCCACACACCTGACAAACAATAATCTGCTCTGATACCACTTGTCACCTCCAAAAAGAGCTCTTAAGAGAGGTAGGCAGCCCAGGACTTAAATACTATTTTTCGGCCGTACACCTAGCCGATGTGGGGTTTTTTGTCCGTGACATTAAGCTGAGTTTTTACAAATATATTCATACTTGAGTTGCTTAAATTTTTTCATATTTTATTTGTACTTAATTTGATTATATTAATGGAACAAGTTAAAATTTAAATGGGTACTTAGTTTTTTATATAAAACTAAAATTTTGATTTGTACATAATTTTTCATATAAAAATGGTAAATAAGCTAATAATTTGAATGAGCACTTGATTTTTTAAATAAATTTATTATCAAATAATTTTATAAATCAAAATAAACAAGTGATTGAATATAATGATATCTAGATAATAAATGAAATCATAAACTCTATAAGGAATTTTATAGGCGGGCTTACCTAGATTTTGGGAATAATATCCTCGATCAAGATGTCCAGGGCTTTTTGTCGTACCAGGAATATTGATATTCATCGACTATGACCGGCCTCATAACCAGGAATCCTCTTTGTAAGCCAAATCATGTCGATTTATAGTTTTCGAAGCAATTTGAATTACCTTTTTCAGTAACCATGTGCTACTTCATTCTAAGGTATTCCCTCTAGTCTTAGAGGGTAGGTCTTTTGTTTTGTATGACATAGTCCTTAGCACCAACTAGAGTACCTAAACTAACCCAGGGTTTTATAATCATACATGGGGTAAGTGTGCGGCCCTTACTGTGGTTTAAAATTAGCTAACCTAAGGTTCATGTTGGATTTACCAATGTTTTGTTCCCGATCTTTATCTTGGTGTGTTTTAGATGTTTATTTAAAGTTCAATATTTTAATTCATGTCTTGTTTCATTTCTTATGTTTGTTAGTCATGTTAAGAAATCAGAGTTTTTCTAAATTTTGAATTCTTTTTGTTTGAGATTTGATTCTTTTATATTTGTGGGGAAAACCATATTGTGAGAGGTTTCCACCCATAATTTTTTTATGTATTTTTTTATTATTTTTATTTGATTTTTTAACATGAAATAACATATAAAATTAAAAAATAAACATGAAATAACAAACACATATACTTAGCCTTGAATTATACTTGGGCTAAGATCGGGCCGAGGCAAGCTAAACTTAGGATTGCTCAAGATTGAGCTAGGGTATGAAAACAATCAACTGATTTAGGCTATAATTGGGCTTAGTTTGGCTTAAGTTGGTTAGGATTGACTCAGATTAAGTCTGGGTTGATTTGGTTTGACCCAGGTTAAGTTCGGTTGACCAAGGTTGGCTTAGATTTAAATTTGTTTTGACTCAGGTTGGCTTAAGTTTGATTTGGGTTTGACCTAGGTTAAGCTGGGTTGACCCAGGTTGGCTTAAGTTTGATTTAGGTTTGAACTAGGTTTAGATGGGTTTGATTTAGTTTGACCCGAGTTAAGCTGGGCTGATCCAGGTTGACTTGGGTTAGGTTTAAGTTGACCCGGGCTAAGCTGGGTTAATTTGGGTTGACTTGGGTTAGGTATAAGTTGACCCAAGCTAAGTCGGGTTGACTTTTGTTAGATTTCAGTTGACCCATGTTAGGCTAGGTTGATCCAACTTGGCTTGGGTTAAGTTTGAGTTAACCCGAGTTAAGATGAGTTTGATTTGGGTTGACTCTGGTTGGCTTATGTTTATGTCGAATCAGGTATGGGTTAGGTCAAACCTGGGTTAGGTATAGGGTTTAGATTAGGTGAGATCTGGATTGGGTCAGGTCAAAGGTTGGATTTGGCTTTGGCTTAGGCTGGGTTAGGACTAAGGTTGGGCTTGGGTTGGACTTAGGTTGAGTTAGTCCTACGTTTACGTTTTGTTCAGACCTAGGTTGGGTTAGGTCTGAGGTTAGGCTTGGTTCTTATCAAGATTGGGTTAAGTGTAAGGGTCTGGTTTGGGTTAGACCTAAGTTAGGTTAGGTCTTTGCTAGGTCAGGTTTGGGTTGGGTCGGATTTGGGTCAAATTTGGGGTTTGGGTTAGGCCTAAGTTAGGTTAGGTCTAAGGTTGATTTTGGGTTAAACCTAGGATGGGCTAGATCTATAAGTTTAGGCCTAGGATTTAGTTTAGGGTTTTGGTTTAGAGATTGTGTTAGGTTGAGTTTGAGGATTAGGCTAGGTTAGACTAGATTTAGGGATGTTCGATTTAGGTTAGGTCCAAGTCGATATGAGTTGAGCCCAAACCCAAGCTTAATCCAAGGCTATTGATTTGATTAATCTAGCCTAAAATTAACTCAAAACGTAGTAATTAAAAATACCTAAATTAAAAACAAGTAATCACAAAACTTACCGGGAGGAGGAGGCTCGCCAGAGGATTGCTTTCCTTCTTCTTCCTTTGTTTGGGTTATCTGAGGTAAGTGCCGAAGAGTTGGGGATTGTCCGGAGAGCACCGAAGACCTCCAATTTATAGACTTGGTCTGATTAAGTGGTGTATCGACGACATAGATGAATCAGGCGATTAAGGAACCACAGATCGCCGCCAGCGAAACTGAGCGATGGTTCATGGTTTAATTCATGGACAAAAGCCAAGGATCAATGATGTGTCAAACGGAGTGGCCACACGGAGTGGTCACTCCAGTTATACGTACGCACGGTCACGCTCAGGCCTAATGTGATCACGCTGAGGAACTTTTAAAATGGTCACGCCCAAGCTAGGTGTGACTGCACCGAGGTACTTTTGGGTGTGGTCACCCCCAGGCTTGGCGTCACCACGCTTGGCCAAAAAAATGGGCATGTTCACTTTTGCCAATCTGGCTACACCAGATCGAGGGATGATGCCCTTGCAAGTCCTATGTGACCAAAAATGAGGTCAACACACATTCTTGGAGTGGACATCCTACCCATATGTTAGTTCATGCAGAAGTAGGCAAAAGGTGTGACAACTTTAGCTGCTCGTGTCTTTTGGCACCACACTTGTCAGTCATGCAAACTTCTCACTGTATTGGTGAGGAGTTAGTTTGTGAACTTTTTCTATTGTTTAACGAGACCATACTCATTTTCTTCTTCCTCTTCTGTGTCTTCTTCAAATTCACTTGTACCGCAAGGAGTTTGAATGAATTTGATGGTGGAGGAATTGGGAGAGAGCGAGGATTTTTGTGGGGAGTTGTTGAGCTAGACTCAGTAAAACCTACACCTTCCTTTATGATTTCCTGTCTAATTAAAAAGGAATTGGGAGAGATTTAACTTTTGTATTTATTGTCAAACTTATATGTATGGTTGGGGTTTACTTTGAGTGTTTGTAACATTTGATTGAAGAAATAAAGTTCGTCTTCATTTCTCTTTCTCTTTTCTACGTTGTTCTTAACATTTTCTGTGCTCGCATCATTTCAACCCTCTTTAATGTTGGCAGATATTTGATCATAGAGAAATCCACATCACTATCCATTTATATTAGAGATAAAATATTTTCAAATCATCTCTACTCCAAGTCCTACGAATCTCAACTTCTGAGTATGAGATTAAACAATACACTGCAAGACCCACTTGCTCCTTGAATATGTAAGGACCAGTCCAGGAAGACTCGAATTTCTTGAGGGCCTATTCACGAGTCGTCAAATCTGTCTTTCAAAGGATAAAGTCCCCATTTTTGAACTGTAGTTCTCTGGTTCTGACATTATAGTGTTTTGTTATTCTCCGTTGACCTTCTCCTATTGTAAGGAGGTCTGGTTCCTGAGTTCTTCTAGGAACACAAGATAATCATGTAGGACTCTATCAATTATTATCTTCCAGCTATCAAGTTTGGATCCCTGTACTAAGAGGCAGTGAGGATCCTAAGACAATGCACATTGTATTATGCTGGAAGAACTGCTCATTCCCATAGGATAACGCAAACGGTGTCTATCCCATAGTCGTTGTTTTTAAAGCCCATAAGACTGATGGAAGTACCTTTGGCCAATTCCCCTTGGCTTCTTCTAGTTTTTTCTTAAGTCAGAATGAGTTTGTTAGCAGCTTCTACTTGACTGTTGTTTGAGGATGATGGACAGAAGTGAATTTGAGCTTTATCCCTTGTTTGCTACAAAATTGCCTCATTATCCTTTTCACAAATTGGATTCCATTATTAGTGATAGTGACCGTTGGTAATTCATATCTGCCTATAATATCACTCCAAATGAAGTTCCTAACAACCTCACTGGTAATCTGGGCCAAAGGCCTGGCTTAGATCTAGTTAGAGAAATAATCTATCATGACTAGGATATATTTACACTGCCCTTTTCCCTATGGCAAAGCTACGATTAGATCCATTCCTCAGACCGCGAATGGCCAAGGGCTATTTATTGGTTATAGCTCGTGAAAAGGTAATTGTTTTATGGAGGCAAACTTCTGACATTGTTCACATCTCCTAAAAAATTCCTCTACCTCTTTTTTGAGAGTCAACCAAAAATAATCTTGCCATAATTCTCGATTAGCTAATGTTCTTTCTCGGGAATGAATTTCACATTCCCTAGAGTATACTTCTCGTAAAATGGTCTTTTTTTCCTCTTCTCTGGTGCATTCAAGCAAAAGAGAGGTAAAAGATCTTAAGAAAAGTTATCCACTAGCTATCACAAAATGGGCATCCTTAATTCATAATCTTTGGAGATACTTAATACCTGGGGGTATCACTCATGTGGAAAGGGATTGATCTAACTCTTCATCTCATGTATTTCTACTTTCATATTTTTAACTATGTATATGGCTAGCCACTGAAGGACCATAGTCCACTGACTTTGAATCTTGTTTCGTCATGAGAGGAGGTCAGAGAATTGATTCTCATCTCTTGCAATGTGTTCCATTTGAAAATGTTTAAATCTTCTTTTTTTCTCCTCAACTATAATGAGATATTTCATCATAATGGGATTTCTCGTCTTAAAGAGCCCACCAACTTGATTTACTTCAAGATGAGAATCATATTTAACTATCATGTGGGTAACCCCCATCCCCAATGATAGCTAATTTTCTGCAATCGGTGTTTCATATTCAACTTGATTATTGGTAGATTCAAAGTCAACTTTGATGGAGTGAGTAAGGATGAATGTGTTTGGATTACATAAAACAAAGCATATACCTCTTCTTGTAGTTCCAGAAGCTCCATCAACAAAGAGTGTCCATTTTAAGGTTTTTTTTAGTATCAACTTCTTCTTATGTTGAACCCCGAGAAAATCGACTATAAAGTCAGGTACAATTTAATCCCTTACGGTTGTTCTATTCCGAGATGTTCCCCTATTATAAGAGATTTTTGTATTTTTCTGATCTTGAGGCTCTCGCATTTGTGCTCTTCATCAGTAGTCGGAGCTTGTGAGGGTCCTACAGGTGATCGAGATTCTTTAGCTTGAATATGCTTATTTGCTAGTTCCAAGTGTTTTACCAATGTCCTCAACTTTTTGAGGCCGAGATCGTAACTAGATAGGCTCTCATGCTACTGTATGATGAAACTTTTGAGACTTTCAGTGGACATTTCAAGTATTCTTAGAAGGGATTGCAAGCTTTTTGATGACCTTCGCCACCAAAAAAATAAACAATGCAAAGAGATATGAAAGTGATGATTGTGAATATTTATTATTTAGGTTTTCAATTTAATGGTTCTAGCAGTGAAAGTCATTTGCTTTCTTCTAATAGAGAAACCCATGGACTAATGTATAAATTTGTTGTGAATGTGGACGAATATGAGAATTTTAGCTCTCAATCTGTTACTCGCTTTTGCGCTTTTGCTAAAGAACACAAAAACATATTCTGTTTAAATATTACAATATATTTTTATGAGAATGAAATTCCTTTTAATGTGAATTGGGGTAGGAGTGTCAAAAATTGACCCGACACGCCAACATGGCTCGAATTCGGCATAGGGATGATCGAAATATTTTTCAAGTCGGATTCAGGTTAGCGAATTCAACCCGTTTATTATTTGAGTTTGGGTTCCAGTTGAACCCAAAAACCAAAACATGACCCTAATAAGCACAAAAATTTGGGTTAACTAGTCAAGCCCGCATTCAGATTTTAGTTTTCGACCCGTTTATTATTCAGGTCGTGTTCGGGTTGACCCGATTTGTGTCGAACCCGAACCCTACTTGTTGACCCGATTGACACCCCTACTTAGGGGTTGCATCAACATATTTCGCTTTGTTGGGAATTATAAGCGAGGGGTTGAATCTTTCGAGCACATATGAGCTGCGAACTTAGATGTCGTTTGAGGAGTTTAAAATAACAAAAAAAAAAATGATTGATGAAGTGAAGAAGACATGACATGAGATAAAAGTTATAACAATGTCACATAGTTGGTCGGGTACAAGGCAAATAAGTATTATAAATTTTCTCATTAACACTCGTTGTGGAGCATAATTTTGGAAATATGTTGATGTATCAACCTTTGTAAAATATGTCTAATTTTTATTCAAAATACTTGATGACGATAGTGAAGAAGTTGGGGAGAGTTTAATTGTTCCAATTATTAGGATAATCAAAGTGTCTATAATGTTACATGGATGATGTTGATGGATAAAATGAATCATATTTACTGGACTTTTATGTTGCTCATTGTCATGATTTAATACTTGAAAATTGGGACAACTGCCACAACATAATTTGCTTTGCTTAAAGTAAAAGATAATATGTACTTTATTTACACTCATCCTTGAGTATTAAGCTTAATGAAAAAAATAACATATAAAGAATTTATCTGATCAATAGTTACAAGAATTATCTTAGTTTATTCGACTTCCAAAAATTTGAACAGTTTCAACAACCTTCAAAAGCTATGTTTGCTTCTGTATAATAGGATAAAATTTCTTGGGCAAAAAAATCATAAGGAAAGCAAGTCAAGAATAGGATAAAATTACTTGTCTGTCTCATTGGCATGTTGCTTTCCACTCCATTGTGAAGAAAATGTCATGAGTTACTCTTCATATATTTTTAAATGAGGGCATCGACAACAAAGAGGCAAAGATTAAAAAAATTAAGGGATCGAATGAATTTTTGTTTGGCCTCAAGTCCTATTTATAAACTTTGCAATGCCACGACACTAAACTTCTGTGGGGCCCATTGGGTTAAATAACGACAAAAATGTCTTAACTATTCATACTAAGGTATGCATGTGGTGTGTAGTAGGTTTCTTGAAACACATGAAGGTGCATTCACAAGGGCACATTATTTGCTCCTCATGTTGTGCCGTTAAATTGGTGTGTCACGACACTTCACTTATTTTTTTGGCACTATGATGTTGCCATGTATGACCACGATACCAGACCCTCTTTTGCGAAATGGAGTCGGGCCACCTTAGAATATCTACTAATGAAATCCAATGATATTTTCTGACAGAGTACGTCATCATGACGTGCCAAAAAAGTCACAAACATCAACAAATTGTTTTACAATAAAATGTGAACATGTCATCACTCTAAAGTAGGAGTTCCCCCCCTCTCACTAGTGACTACTTATTGGAGTGTATAAGTGGAAGGAAGTGAATTCAAGGAAGAACTCAATCAACCTAGTTGCTTGATTACTCAGCTATATTAACTATTTTTTTTAATTCCTTATATATGTTGTTGATTTCTTGCTCAGCCCGTAATTAGACTTTACTGATTATTCAAACTAGTAGGTTTAACACACACACACACACACACACAATAGAGCTTAATCAGATTAAGGTTTTATTAATTTTGAAATTAATACAATATTAATTTTAATTAATTAATTTGATAACAATAAATGATTGAGAATACAATTTAATAAAATTTATATTAAATTATTCTCACTCATTATATCTCAAAAGAATAATCCACCATCATTCACTGCAAGCTTGAATTAAAAAAAAAATTAAAAGAATATTTATATAGGAATATCCTTGTACAATAGGCCCTCAAAGCCCAAATCATATGTTACTCATACAACAAGCCCAACTTCACAACAAGCCCAACAACTTCCAAAAACTCAAACCACACCCATATATGAATGCTACTAATTTACCTTAAGTAGCTAAAAAAATATTTTTGTTAAACCTTTTTAGGCAATTTACATACCTAGCACACAATTCTTATTTATTTACACGTGTCACATCTAAACTTTTGTATTTACAAATATAGCACTTTGGTAAAAAGAGATGGTAGTTCTATATTTGATATGATAGTATAGATTTGAGTGTGTTATATGTATAAATATGAAAGTTTAGGTGTGAGATATGTAAATAAATTGGAATTGTGTGCTATGTAAAAATATTATTTCAAGCTCTCCAATCTCGTTGAATTATCAACGTTCATTTTTTTGCAATTTGCCCCTCCTAAACTTTTCATTGTTCGCCCAATATCTAGAGGCACAAAAGGCATCGCTTCAGCTTTATACGCACTGAGATGACAAACACGAAACTTCTGACCGACATCTGCCAGTGGCTCAACCACTCATCTCGTCGGGATGCCACTGAGCCGGAAATTGAACCGGTACCGGTGCCGGAGAATAAACCGCCGCCGGCGAATCCGGGCCCACACTCAACGCTGCCGCCTGTCCTCTCCTCCTCCGCTTCACCGAAGTCGTCGATTGAGACGACAATGAAGAAGACGAAAACGAATTAGACGAAGAAGACGAGGAAGAGGAAGGCGATGATACAGAAATCGCACGCTTCGCCGGCGATTCGCCGGCCCCGTTTTCGCTTCCGATCCGAAGTGGAAAATTGAGAAGCGCACGGGATCCACGCATCCGATAAGCGGCGCGATCGTATGCGAGCGCAGCTTCTTCCGCCGTCTCAAATGTTCCCAACCAAACCCTAGCACCGTTCTTGGCCGGATCCCTAATCTCCGCCGCGAACTTGCCCCACGGCCGCCGCCTCACGCCGCGGTAGTGCTTCTCCTTCTCCGGCGGGGTCTCCGGATCTGGTGAATTCGGCTTCTCCAGCGGTGACTGAACGGCGCCACCGGAGCAGGGGAGTGCGGGAATCCAACCGTTGCTGAAAGCGTCGTGGAGGGCGAGGTAGACGACCATGTCGTCGGAGTCGTCTGGGCGGAAGGGGAGGTCGATCCAGTGATCGGCGACGAAGCGGCCGAAGCTTGAGGTGCGAAGGTAGGTCGGAGGTGAAGGTGAAGTAGCGGCGGAGGATGGGACTTCAGGATCGTCGAGGAGGTGATGCCGGATGGCGTCCAAAGTGGTATTGTGCATTTTTGGTTTTGCAATCTTGTTAGGGTTTCCGATCACGTCCAGTGAGTGTAAGAATTGGATTCAGGTTGGAAGGGAGTGGTGGAGATATCGGGTGGGATTTATAATGGTTGAACAATTGGGGAAGGCTGGAAATTGAAATTGAATTTGACTGGGTTCCGCGAACCTTCGAGATAAAATCACGTGCTTTTTCTTAAGCTTTTAGTAATAAATAATTTTGTGGGGTTTTTATTTATTTATTTTTTTTCGGTTTGTAAATAATGAGGTGGGACTGGTGGTGTTCCGGTGACGTCACTGGCCTCATCGTCGTCAGCAGGAGATACGGCCACCTGGGTGGTGTCTGTAGTTAGTTGAGGGCGTGGAGAAGCTGCTTGCTTCAACTTGCGCCCCCCTCTTTTTTTTTTTGTTTTTTTTTTTTGTTTTTGATAAAATAAAGGATTAAAATGAGATGCTGTCAGTGTCCATACAATATTATCCGCATGAAACTCTTGATAATCTGATGGTTTATAATGAAAGAAATAAATTGAGGAACATTTTTATGATAAAAAGTTATAAGTATATATGAAGGCGGTCGATTGAAGAATTGTGGACCGAATAATAATCAACGACCGAATGTTGGCGACCAACCAACAAGAGGAAAACATCCATGCCACAAACTCTCGAAAAAATTCTCCAAAAACTCCTTACGGATCTTCATAAATAATCAAGGAACAGGCGAGCTAACCGGCCAATTTGGAGTTGCAGACCGAACAATAACCAACCGACCGAATGTTGGCGACCAACCAACAAGAGGAAAACATCAACGCCACCAACTCTCGAGAAAATTCTCCAAAAAATCCTTACGAATTTTCATAAATAACCAAGGAACAGGTGAGCCAATCGGCCACCTTGGGGCTGACCGACTATTTTTCTCAAAGTCAACCGGCTTCGTAGAATGATGGGCGACCAACATCCATGCAAAATAGTCAATGGACTCCTACTCGGTCAACCAACTCGAGTGATTGCCGCCTAAAATGACTAGACACAATAAATGATGTCAAAATTAATTACAAATACGAGAAGACAACAAAACAACAATACAGTCCTAGTTTTTTATGTTTTTTAAAGCTCGGAGTTGCTAGTACGTATATTTACATGTTGTCTTATGATTTCATTTTTCAAATAAATCTCCCTTTATGATATGGAAATAACACGAATATGAGAAGTACAAAAAAAAGGTATATGACGAAAATAGATAGACAAATTTAAAAAGGAATATGGAAGGCTTATGTACGGTAATCTTCGTGTGATAAGTCGAGAGTATGCGTCCAAACAAAATCAAGTCAAAATACCTCGAATCACGAGATCCACAAAGTAATCTTTATAAAAGCCACCAATAACTAGAGAACAAAAAGGAATATTTTTGTTCTGGGGTCAAGAGCACTCCCAACGAGCGTATTTCTTTGGTTAATTATAACTTGGGTGATACTCAAGAGTACCTTCTATAAAATGAGACTTGTTCACATTACATGATAACTAGCGAATGGGTCATCAGAAGGATGGTTATTCTGTTGGAACACCTCTCCATCTCGAGAGCCCATACCAAGTTACATGGGAGAGGGTGAGTCCCTCATATTTAGTAATGGATGGTGGCACGCTGATGAGTGAAGCCTGGAGAATAATTGAGTCGACTCGATAGGAACATCCATATAATTTAAAGCTCCCCTAGTCAAAAGGGCATAGGGTTATGTTGGCATTATTTTTTGATGTCATATGTATGGGGTGTCCACTTGAACATTACAAAACTGTATTCGGCCTTCTGTAGTCCAAGACATCCATTCGAACCTCCTGACAAGTGTATTTAACACAAAATTGAGACAGATACCGATTCAACCATGCCAGGGAAAGCTCATTACTTAGTGACAACAACTCTGATACATGACAGATTTGGTGCTCATTTTAATATTTAACGACCATATTCTACATATTCAGAGTCTCTCACGATTCAAACAAGCTAAAAAATTGCTTTGACCGACACTCTAAGGGCGGTGGCCCAGCATGACCACGCTTCACCCTTGGAGTGACCACGCTTCACCCTTGGCGTGACCACTTCTGAAACGGGTGTGGCTACGCCTAGCCCACCCAATGGGGTGACACTTCTCGAGGTGGCGGGACCACGCCCCCTGGCCTAGGTTGTGACACAGGTCGCGACATCTTTGGCCTGACATGACCATGCCCAAGGGTGGCATGACCACGCCACCATACATAGAGTTCAGACATAGTTACACGACTTTTGGGTGTCTCCATGCCAAAACACCATGTGTGGTGCTCTTGAAGTGGCGTGACCATGTTGAATTCAAAGTGGGACCATACCATTTCATCCTGTTTGCACGTTTTGTACTATTGTTCCCTAGAAATCCACCATTAACCAATGAATAAAGAACTTGTTCACCTGGCCTCTTACAATTTTGAGAAGGAAACAATGGATAAAATTCTTCTTCCCATTTATGTGTGATTGCCACTAGGGAAGCGACTAAGCAATATTGATCCCTTGAGTGATGCTAAGAGAGCATTGCTAAGTGGGCAATGTTGTGTGGGAGCAGTGGATTGACATTCATTCATGGGGGAGCCTATAGAGAGAGCTAAGGGAGAGCTTTTCGAAGAATTCCTTTGAACTTTCTTCTCTTCTCCTTCATCTTCTTCACTTTATTTCAGCTATTCTTCTTCTTCCTCATTGTTCCCTTCATCGGTCATCATTTTGCCAAGGAAATCAGATAAAATAGGGGGGAAATTGTTGGAGCTTAATCAATCTTCTTGAAAAGCAGCGCTTCTTCGATCTTGGAAGAAGGAGCAGAACAATCATCATCCTTATGATCAAAGGAAAAGATGTTGAGATTTTCATACCTATTTTATACTGTTTTTAATGATATTGCACTTTAAAGAAATGTATTTTTGATGTTTTGTTGCATGAATGCTGAATTAGGGTCAATGGAGCAAAAAGATTCAAAAATGAGCGAATTTGGAGCAAAAAAGACCAAAATGTGGAGATTTAAACTAAAGGCGCCGACGGCACCATCGATGCCGCCGCCGCCGCCGACGTGTTTTTCCCGAGGGTATAAGATAAAATTATCCTAGAATTAATTCATTAAGAAGGTCCCTCGAGGCCGCCGACGGAGCCGCCGACGGAGAGCTCGACAGTTATGCCCAATCAGGCTTTGGATAAGGCCAAATTTTGAAGGGATGCTTAGGCAACTCTTGGGAAAGCTCATCCACAATTTTAAAAGACTATTTTGGCTGAAAATTGAAAAAAAAAAGAAGGGGGTTTGGAAGAGAGTGTAGAGTTCCTGGAAGTTAGAAGGGTTCCATTAGTGTTTGTTAGAGTGTAAAAAGTGTTAGGAATTCTTTGAGAGATTGTAAGAGTGGAGGGAAATTGAGAGATTTCTTCCTCCTTGCTACTTCGAAGATGAATTCTGCGTGTTGTAAAGAAAGGAAGAGATTCAGAGGAACTTCGAGGAGTTTTCTTGGAGAAAAATTAGAGATAAATTATTTACTTGTTGTAGTTTGTATGACTTTGATTTTATATATGAATTCCGAGTTTTGTTGTGTTTTTCCCATGAGATCTGAGTAGTTTTCTCTGTCTTTCTCCTTGTCTTGAGATTTGTGAAATGGTGGTGTGAATTGGTGAAGCCATGAAAATGTTTAAGAAATTGTGATGATCTTTTCACTTCGATCTTAATTTACTTTCAATCTGGCCAATTGATTTGTTAAAATATGTTCAGTTTTACAACTAAAGTGAAGATTACATCCAAGATTCAAGGAAGTTAAAGCCCTTGGAAGTTGGGTGCAAATAAATAGAGAAATAATATTATCGGGCGTAGAATTGGAGATGTTAGAGTGACAGACTAAAATCCCTAATTCGTTCCTATCGTTTGGGTGCTGAAGTGTAGATGTTAGCCCTCAGGCGAGGGGAACGTGGGAGCTCCGAAGTGAGAGCAGGTATCCTCCCAGCCTAGCCACAGATTCAGTAAATAAGCGTAGGATTAGTCAATGTTCTTTATGCTTGGACCAAATGGTAAAGAATATGTATGCTCCTATTTGACACAATATAATTTGAACCAATTCACTTTATCCATTCACTATAATTTCTTGATAAGGAGAATGATGCTTTCTTATATATTGAATATCACATTTAAACCCTCATTAGTATCATTAGTTATTTATTAGTTATTAAAATTATATATTTGTTTCAATTGCCTATTAGTGACATATAAGCAAATTTAACTTCGTTGTTGCGATTAAAGTATTGCTTTTCTAAAATCTTAGTTCGCTGTTCTAAACCACTCCCCGTGGGATCGATATCTAAGACTCTATTAGAGCCCTATATTACTTGAGCGATGCGTATACTTGCTTTAATAAGTGTGACTTTACAATTATTGAATATTTATTACGTCCATATTTATCTTATGTTTTTAAGCATATATAAAGTCGCCAGCACCTTATACGATTAGAGCTTTGAGCAAGCCGAGAACACATCACTCCAACCATCACGAAGGTATAACGCTTCAATTCCTTGCAATTTTCATTCCTTTCACGCCCCTAGGACTAATTAATAGAGAATTAAGGCAAGGATTTTGTGATTAGAGTAAATGCTAGGTTAAGGAGCTTTTGGTTGATTTTAACCCAACAAATACGAGAGATTTCCCCCTTAAATCATAGTATATTGTCCTAATCGGTCGAGAACCTAGAAACTCGTCATTATTTGGTGGTTTCATCTCTTATTAAATGGGTTGAAGCCACCTTGATCAAGATAAGGAGGGAATTTCTTTAATCCATTGATCGTGAAGGCTATGTCCGTGAGAGAAATCTTCATTCACTGTGAAGATTTCCTTTTCACGAAAAATTTCCTTCACACTTTGTCAAATAATTAGATGTAGGCCCTCCGTTATGTTGCATAATAGATGATTTCTATGACTTCACCCCCACCCTAAATACCATGTGAGATCCTAGGAACATTTTGTTTTGCACCAGAATGTTATTGGGTGTATTAGCATGTTGCATGTCATCGTTTCTTTAAAATTTACATTTTAAAATGATTAATTTTGTATACTTTTTGGCTTGGCCACTTACTTTAGGTTGA